TTTTTTTTTTTTTTTTTTTTTTTCTTTTTGTTTTTTTTGTTTTTTTTTTTTGTTCAATAACTACTGGATTACCTTGCACACTTTGTTCGGGAAGAAATTTTCGTCAAATTTCAACTTATGAATAAATGTTTTCTTTGAATAACCAAACGTTTGTTTTTTCTTGTTGGATATAACAAGATTTAGATCTTTCATATGGCTGAATTATTCATTCACAGCACAGGTATATACGTTTTTCTTAACCCTTAACAAAAGTATTTTCAAATTAAAGATCACTACTTTTTTAAAGTAGACTGGCTCTTTTCTCTCGATTTCCACATATATGTGTATACGTGTCTTAACTAATAATAAAAATAAAAGTAACAATAGCAATAGCAATGGCGTAACTTAAAAATTTTAAACATAACATTCTTTTAATATTGTAAATACGTAGTTTATATTCAAGTCCAAACTCGATTATTTAAATTGAAATAGATAATAATCATAAAAATACAATGACATTTTTGTTTGGCTTGATAATAGTGTAATAATAACTTCTTGGAAAGCATAGCAATAGAAGTACAAAAAACAAATATTTATCATAAATCTTATTAATAACAAATAACTAAACATATCTGCAAAAATGCAATAAGAATCGTTGAATTCACAATGCATTTCTTTTATTGTTAAGGGTTAAGAATTTCTCTCCATCTTGTCAATTAGTAAAGAAACGGAGAGCTAATTTCAGATCTTATTAATCCCGGCCTCCTACGTATAAATGGAGAAACTTTTATATCTTGGGAGTATAAAACATTGTTTAAAATTATTTTACTCTTCAACGATTCTTACACGCAAATACCATGTTACAATATATATTTATGCACGTATCTATTTCTATGCGAACCATCTAGAACGATTTTTAGTTCTGATAAGTTGTTCGCGGAAGAATGTTCAGGCCTATGTGTAAGATCATAATTTACATTGTAAAATCAGAAGAGAAAACTAGGAAAAAAGGGAGGAAAACGAACAAAATAACAGCAACGGAAATATATACCTTTAAAGGATGTTTAAGCACTCCATTCCAATCCTTTCGTTTATACCTTCAATTCTGTATATAGCTGCATGTGGATAGTCACTCATTATGGTGAATTCAAACTTTTTCCTGCCAAAGCAGCTGCTTTAGAAAGTACTATCTGGATATCCATTGATGGAAAATTCTAAAATGAAATAAGTACTCTTGTAATAGTAGGAAAAGTAGTTAAAATTGCAGTAATGTCTCAGAAGATGTCTTCATATATTTTCCATCATTCTGCACTCTTTATAGTCATCTCGTAGAAATATATCACTTACTTGTAAAAGTTTAACATTGGTTGCAAAGTCTCCAGCAAGTAATTGGTCCCTCAAGAGCCTGAAAAATTTCACGTATTCGGATATAATATATATTCGATATTATAATTTATTCCAATTAGTAATACTTACAAAATCATGGCACAACAAATATGTATCAAAAAACTGAATCTGTTTTCATCTGCAAAAAGGGAATCCCAAATTCTCATAACATCAGGTAAAGGGAATTCTTGTGATAGAAGAAGTGTCAACCATCTAATGAAAAATTTTGATTCATATGCATAATAATGTTTGGTTTAGGATATGTAACTCATGAAAAAAGTCACAGTTTATTTAATTAGTTTACCTAAAACTGTAATATTGTGGACATAATTCCTGTTGATGCAAACGCATCCAAACTTCCGGATCATTAGCTTTAACTTGGGTTGTAAGTTTACTCATCATTGAATTTATTCCAAATTCAGCTTCATCCAAGGACTTTATAAAGAAGTCGCGAATTTCGCTCATTAAATTGGTAAAGCAAAAGAAAGTATCTGCTTCTGCATGTTCTATAAGAAATGTTAGGTTTAAATATTAACATTTAAAATATATTCTTTAATAATAGATATTAATGAGTTACCTCTCCATTTTTGGTCAGGGTCACAAGCAAATGCATGATAAATAGGACCAACAATTTCATTCATGCCTTGCACATAACCTTGTCCTGGATTTAATTTAGCATAAAGGAAAAGTATTCTTTCTAGTACTTCCCAGTGTGCTTCACCACCTTCCGCAAGTGGTGCATAATCTTCTGCAGCTTTTCTAATAGAAACTGCTATCTATAGATAAACATAAATGGGTTTTTCAACTATGTTCTAAAATAACAAATTGATGTAATTAAATGGTGTTACCTGCTGCTTTCCATCAGCATAATAACATGAAAAGTGATTAGTATTATTCTTTGTGAACATTCCTATTAAGTGTAATTACCTTAGTGACACCAAGTCCCTTTCTTTCCACATTTGCACTTCTTAAAACTGTATGCTGCACTCTATGATGTAAACGTTTCTGTCCACTAGCATTCACAATCTCTTCACGTGGATAATCTGTGCCTTGTTGAAAAAATGATATATCTGGACATAATCTTCTACAAATAAAATTTATTCTATATCCTTTAACACGAGAAGTTGCTCTAGCATATTACACTAAATTTACCTAACATCTTTGTCTATTTGCAGAAGCACTTCATTATCCTTAAAATAGGTTTGCCACTTGCTATCAGGGTTTAAATTTAATGGATGATCATGAAGTGTGACATCTACTCTTTCACCATCACTGTTTGTTTCACCTGGTGTAACAATGAGATCCTCTACAAATAATAATTATACTTTTATGTATATTTTTAGATAGATTCTTCACATCTCTTAGATATATTCTTCATAATCCTAAATAAAATAGGAGAAATAAACCTTACCAATAAAAGTTTTATACAGTGATCTTTTACGTGTTAGTGTTTCTGACCAACTGGCCCTTGTACAAGGCAAATAATTTAATAAAAGTTTCCAACATAAAGGTCTCAAACCTCCTTCATCTGGTATTCCTATAAATAATTATTAATTGTCATTCAGTTCGTTTGTTATAAGAAAGTTACATTTTTTATAATACATAGAATAACAGAAACTATACAGCATCCAATACAATTTACAAAAATTTCGCATCAAATTCGTTTAATCTAGTGAAAAATACAAATTCCTCAGTTGAAAATTTTCAAGATAATTAATGCTTACGAACGATTACCTCTTTCTTAAAATACTCATCGTGACTGTGTGATGCATGCGGTGCTTAACGAGAAATCCACTACGTTCTTATCGGCATTCAATAGGCATGTGGGCGTACAGAGATACCCACTTCTCACATTATTGTCAGTTGCCTGCCAGATTGACAGGCGAACTAACCGCCATTTTTTCTTCTCGTATGAAAGACCGTCTACTTACATTAAACAATAATTCAAGGGTCTTATATCTGGGCGTGGAGAAATCTTTCTTATCATTGCAATATGGCACTTTTATACTCGTGCCTACAAGCACGCGAGCTATAGTTTCTGCACGAGTTAATTTAATTCGAACCTAACCTATTTGACGCACAGATGTCTTTTACGGTGACTCGAGTGAGAACAAGATTCTCTTTTGCTATTGATTTAATTTGTCTCGTGAAATTATATCATATTAGAGTAATATCGTTAAACTTTAAGTATAATCTATACTGTTTTCAGAACCTACCAAATTTTGGTTATTCGATGAAGACAATACAAAATTAGGTTATCGTACAAACTTATAGCATGTAAACATAGTTGACCGCTTAAAATAAACTCCGTAATTTGATTTAAAAAAAAAGCATAGTAGATATAGAAGGAATAATAAAAAAAAAAATAGCTATTTCATAATAATCATTACAGTAAATTCTCTGTTACTTTTCTAGTATTGGTTCTGTAAAATCGATAAATTCCATGTTGTTTACATTAGATATCACTAATCACTGATACAATATTGACAGTGGTAAATTGTATACTTATAAAAGCAAGGTTTATAAGTTTCTTCGAAGTAATATGACACGTTCAAATAATTGGTTCAAAGTAAATAAATAAATAGGTTCTTCGATCTTTTCCTTTTCGATTCTACAATTTCATAGTCGATTTCCTCATACAGTCGCTTTAATATTGCAACGGTATATCAGGGTTTACTTTTATTATTCATTTTATTACAGTTGTAATTGTCTAGATAGTATGTACTCAATCTTCTGTTCTTGTCAGAACAATTAGATGCACAGTATTTTTTGCTCAAGTCAATCATTTAAGAGCATGGTCGTCTAATTATTCGGAGTGATACGTGAATTAAAAGAAGAAAAAGTTGTTCCCGCGAAGTAAAGAAAGAGATAACGAAATCACGGGGGGGGGGGGGGGGAGG